ATATATATATATATATATATATATAGTGTGTGTGTGTGTGTGTGTGTGTGTGTGTGTGTGTGTGTGTGTATGAAGGGCCAGTAAAAGTACCTTCAGCTAAGCCTGATCATTTCAGTTTGATCCCTGGGACACACATGGTACAACTCTCTTCTGATTGCCACCCAAGCACCATGGCGCACACATGCCCACACGGATCTACAAGTAGATGTAAGGTAAAATGCTACCTTAGGGGGAAAAAAAAGTGGCAAGCAATAGAATACACCTCTGTAAAAGCCAGATTCACCTTTGGCTTTTACATCACACATATGCATACAATACACACACCTGTACCTAGCCAAACAAACAGTCTTTGTGGGTTCCTAGAAGTACGGTGGCTCTAAACCCTGTCTGTGCCTGCTGTGCCTACCAGTTAACCTTTCCTTATTTCTGTAATCTGTGTTCAGGAAGTTGAGGTGTATCATTACTCTGTGTATTCTGGGTCAGTGACTGTGCCTGTTGAGGCTCTAATTGGTAACTGGACCACTGCCCAAATTCTCAGGGGTTGATACATGCAAGTGTGGAACTCAGCTGTATTTGCATGACCATGTGAGTGAGCAGGGGTCTGTTAGGACATGCATAAGTAATGTGTGTTCATGCATCTGTGGTTTTACTAGCTCCCTGAATCACAGGCTGGTTACAGAGGTCTGCCAGGTGCTCAGGCCCAGGCTTGCCTGTCAAGGATGGGAAAATAGGAGAGAAGGTATGGCCCTGCCCAGGTGAAATGCTGTCTGGGCCTGCAGCTGTGTCTGATCCTGAACCACTGAACCCCTTATGTGGTGGCCACTGAGCATTGGCGTTCACAGTGGGGCCTGGATTTCAGCCTGCGGCCTGGATCCTGTCTTCTGCATGGAGAACGGGGGTCAGGGGTTCTGTTTCTCTCAGGAGCACCTAGAGTGCTTTAGGGAGAGGCCTATGTGCTAAGCCAGAGTGTGAAAAGGTTTTCCAGAGTGTTAACAGTTTAGCTCTTTTAGAATGAGATCGCCGGTGGCAGCGAAAACTCAGGCATTCCAAAGCCTATGACGATACCAAACTGGTACAGCTCTTGGTTAAGCTGCTATGCTGAGTATGGCAGAGGTGCTAGGGAAAGCCCATGCCTGGTGGGCTTGCAGCCAAGGCCCAGGCCCAGCGAACTGGAGGGCAGGCCTGGTAAGGCCCAGGTCCAGCAGGCCGGAGGGCAATGACGGGTCTCAGTCAGCCACAGTGCATGGCTGATGCCGCATGTAGACCCCAGCATGCATGCACCCCCACCACGTTTATTTGAAGTCAGGAATTTATAAACCTTGGGTAGTGGGAGGGATTTCAAGAGTGAAGGTGTTTGATTCACAGGGGTCAGAGGGTCAAGGGGATTAGGGGGCTTAAGGGGACCAGGGAGTCAGGGATACTTGACTTCCAGGTAGTGGTCAGCGCCTCGTTTTCCATGGAGTATCGTGGTCCTATCACAAGAAGGAGAACACAGTACTTCGTTATCCTGTGAGTGAGGGGAAAATCTCCAAGTACAGTTGAAGGGCACTGCTTACGGGTGTGGCATCTCTAGGAATTCCTAGATGTTTGCTCGAGTGGTTTCCCAATCAGAAGGGTCCCCCCTGTAATCTGCCCTGAGAGGTTACGTGACACTCCTTACAAGACCTGGGGTCACCCAGATCAGGGGAGATTTTTAGAGCCCCGCTGAGAAAAGGGAGTCTGTCATGTAGACCTAGTGCAAATAAATGGCTACCGGGGAGGTCAGACTTCAACCTTATCCCCCAGAACCCATGGGCTCGGTCTCTCTCTCTCCATACTTCCTGCCCTTGACTTCCCCTGACCCTTACCCTAGCTCTCAGAGCAGTTCTGGTTATCTTTGGTGTGGTGTGACATTTTCTAAGGAAGTATGAACAAAGTTCTATTCATCTAGATAGGGTTCTGACAACAGACCAGAGAAAGGATTCTGTCTGGGTTGGTGAGTCAAGGAGGTTTTTATTTTGAGTTAGATTTCAGGAGGAACTTATAGAAGCATGGTTGATGCAAAGGCAGCTCCATATGTAATACATATTTAGTGATCTGGAGAATGGGTCAGTGGTCCGTGGTTAGCTGCTCTTCCAGACGACTGAGTTCATTTCTCAGCACCCATGTGAAGTGGCTTTCAACTAGTTCCAGAGACTCTGACATCCTCTTCTGGCACTATGAGGTGGCATATATTCAACCAAACAAGTCGGAGGAAGGCCTGTGAAAGTAAGTTCTCTTCCTCCATCATGTGGATTCTGGGTATTGATCTTAGGTCATCAGGCCTCATAAATTCCTCTGAGCCACACCATTCATCCAGATCTTTTAACTTCTTGAACAGCCTGTGCACCGTATGTTTCCTTAACTTGAGTTTTATTTTTCTGAAACAGGATTTCTCTCTGTGGCCCTGGCCATTCTGGAACTCACTTTGTAGATCAGGCTGGCCTCCAACTCAGAGATCCACGTGCCTCTGCCTCCAGAGTGCTGGGATTACAGGCATGTGCCACCACTGCCCAGCAGTTTTCTGAGTTTTATATACTTTTTTCCCACCTTCCTGGAAAGAATGTTTCAAATCAGAGGAAGTAGCTACATAATGCCTGGGGGTTCACTTTTTCCATGGGAAGAGATGTGAGGTGGTGGGCATGATTTTGGACCAAGCGGGCGATCATAGCTAGATGAGTACAGGTCACAACACTGTGAGACAGACTACAGGTGTGGTTCTGACTACAAACGTTTCTTCTGTCCTCCCACGCCCACTCTGGTGGTAACAGCTGTGTATCCATATGTGTTAGGGAGTCAATGCTTCGTTCATACAGGATTGACAGGCACCCTAGAGGTCATGGCCACATAGAAAAGGCTACATCTGGGTAGGTCTGGTCTGACTCATCCTTGTGTGTGTGTCAGGTTATAGGTGGGAAGTACAGCTGTGTGGGAGATGGGATATTTCCCCTAGTCCTTGCCCTTCTTTGTTGAGTCCCATTACTTTTTATCTCTCTTCAGTTTTTAAAATTATTAAGTCTGGTATGGTGGGCACATGTCTGAAATCTTAGTGTGTGGAAGGCAGAAGCAGGTAGGTCTCTCTGTGAACTCAAGACCAGATTCATCTACATAGTGTGCTAAGTCAGCTAGGGCTGTATAGTGACTCTTATCTCAAAAAAAAAAAAATAATAATAATAATAACTTTTAATTTATTTACTGTTTTTTTTTTTTTTTTCAAGACAGGGTTTCTCTGTGTAATGGTCTGACCCTGTTTGTTCAGGAACTCACTCTGTAGACCAAGCTGGACTCAAATTCACAGAGCTCTGCCTACCTCTGCCTCCCCAGTGCTGGAACTAAAGGCTGCTACCACCTGGCTTTATGTACTTGTGTGTGTGCTCATGGGTGCCATGAGGTGTATATGGAGGTCAGAGAACAATTCTAAGAAGTCGGTTTTGTACCAGGGATCAAACTCTGGCCATCAGGTTTGATGGTTAGTGCTTTTTACCTACTGAGCCCTATTCCTGGCTCCTTTTTTGTTTTAAGATAGGGACTCATATAGCTCAGGCTGGTCGCCTAGCCAAGGCTGGACCTCCCCCTGCCAGGTTACAGGGATTACAACATACTACTCACTACCTGGTTTCTCCATATCCCTTTCAAATTTCAACATGGTTGTTGGCTGCCCTCAGTCACTTTCTAGTTCTGATGAGTGAACTCAGGACCTAGTACAAGCTGAACACGGGAGCACTTGGCAGAACCATTAAGTTTGCTGAGGGCAGGGCTGAGGGAGTGAGTCACAGTGACACTCTAGTGGGTCTGAGGGAAGGACAGAGTGAGAGACAGGCTTAGTAAAGTAGCTCCGAGCTGCTCCAACTATCCTAGCTTCTGTTTCTCTCCTCTGGAATTCCCATTAGTTTGTCCCCTGGGCAGAAGGAGAGTTTTCATATAATCATATATATAATATATATATATGTATATAAATGCATGCATATTGCTGGTGAACCCCAGGACTTCACACATGCTAGTCAAGTACTAAGCTACACACACACACACATACACACAGCATGTGTCCTGGCTCCAAAGCTGACCTTTGAGGATAACCCTGCTCCCCAGATCAGGTTAGCGCCCAACAGCATCATCACGCACCCACATAGTAACAGGGACTCAAGATTCAAGCCTCTGCCAGCCTCCCTCCCTCCCAGACCCCAGGGAAGGCTGTGATCCAAATGGGGAAAAGGGGCTTGTGACTGCCCTTGGGTAGCAGAAAGGCTGTAGGAACATCAAACACCAAGTCTCCTTTTTCCATGAGTGACTGAAGTAAGAAAGCTGGTTCTGGCTCTTCCTAGGGTACTGGGACAGGTGGCAGATACATAGCTAGTCACACAGTGGTGGGCCCG